TATAGCCTACGGTTATCAGTCCATGTCGTTCTCAGCAGGCCAGAACTATTATATTTAAACTATTTTAATTCAAGTAGGTAGCCAAAAGGAAGCTGGAGCTTGTTCTAGTCGAGACATCCGCATCTTCAATTTTGAAAATTTACCAAGATTGATTAATATGCATGAAGTTAGCCAATCATGTGATTTACAAAATCAGTCATGCATACGATATCCCACATCAAATTTGATGTGGGAAATTGCACGCATGAATCGTTTGCCCAGGCCCTAATTCGAAAAAAATTAATCGAGTATGGGACGCCAATTAAATTAGGTATGGCGCGCACTAAGTGCAATAAAGAGTGAGTAACCTAAAATTAGGGCCTGGAACCCAGGCTAGGCCTGGAACGGCCAAAAGAGAAAGTTATACAAAAACAAAAGTTATAAAGCAAAAGGTAATACAGTAAAAAGGAGAAAATAAGTTAATTCATCATCGTCGTCATCTCGAGCGAAAACCGGGGAAAATTTACATAGGGTACGTTTTTACCGGTATTGTATCGGCGGGTGGTCTACCGGTTCGTGCAGAACTCGGCTTTCAAAAAACCATTAACCCCTGACGTCATACCTAAGTAAGGTATTATGCGTTAATTATTTTATTAAGTTTCCCTGGACCCTTGCGCGCGTCACCCCACGCTTTAATTAAGAAACGGACATTGGCGTTGGTAGGGCCTACACTGCATAATGTTAATCAAGTACAGTAATGAAATGACCGAAGAACCTACAACAATAAGCTTCATAACATAAGGCCTACATTGAAAACTCCCAATAATCGCAGATGTGCATTTTGGGCGTATAAATCCAGGATAAACTTTCATTCGTTTGGCAATGGAAGTACTGTACAGTAGTATAACTAAAACAGCGGCATACGTATGTAATTATATAGGGTAACAATCTGGACTGTAGGATAATTTTTATCGAGCTTTTCAGTTTCATTTTTGGAATTTAACTGTAAACGGAGCAGGACTCCACAAAAAAACTCGCCCGAACGCACCTCATCTTCATCATTATCATCATCCACCAACTCAAGTTCTGAAGCCCGGTTCAATGTACCATTTGCATTGAAATGGTGGCAACGGTGCACATAGAACCAGAATTGACATCATCCTCATTTCATTACCATCAAATCATCATCATCACCGTCGTCATAATTTTACAGTTATTATCATGTTACGCTTCCCACTTCCAGGAAAAATAGTTCCGAACATTCCGTTTAAAAGAAAATGTGTCATTATAGGCCCTATTTACTTACTACGGTATATTCTTTCTTTTTTAATACAGTAGAACCTCTCATTCGGGACACCCCAGTTAAGGGGACACCTTAGGAGCACACTTTTCCGTGAAACGAGGGGAAATTAATTTGTTATTGTTTGTTTATTTATATTTTTTCTGTTTTTTTGTTTTTTTTAATTTTAAACTGTGCTATTTTTACTTATCATTTATTTACCATACTTTTCTGTTTCCTTTGTTTTTACCTAATTTATTGTAAATTAATTATTTCTATGTCTCCTACTAGTCAAGAGTATCGTAGCTGTTTATTGTGCGTCTACTTAGTTATTTATTCTTGAGACAAAGGCCTACGTGAATCCACATCAAAAACATTTTTTATTGCAGCACTGCAACTACTATAGATTCAAAATGACATTTTTTTCTTGATCCTTAAAATGGACGTCGGTGTAGGCCCACTGTGTGTATTATTTTATAAACTAATCATGGGATTTAAATTTATTTTTTCTGTGTAACTTTCATCTGAGACAACTATAGACTTGTATAGTTGTCTCAGCTTTCATATAATGGGATTTTTTTGTGTGTGCTTTCACAGGATTCAAATCCATACAGTTGAACTTTTACCTTGGTTCAAAGTATTACGGTGCTCTATTGATTCTGCTGTGTCTCTCATATTGGAATCGATCTGGAACAACTATTGTTGTTTTAATTTTCATTTCATCATACATAGGCAGGTGTATTTGCATTGCAAATTATTGTTAATATATAGGCCTAATTTAGTTCAAGTAACATCGTAACTCGATCTTCATCTTAAAATTATAAAGAATAGGCCTATGTCCTCATTGTATGACTATAGTGTGCCAAAAACCTACAAAGGGGACAATTTAACGTTTTTGGTTGTGTCCCCTTAAGTTAAAGAGTAACCTATTCAGGGGACACTCCTATTAAGTGGTCGACACTTTTGGTACCGGCCCTGCCTCAGCCTAGCACAACAAGGTACATTAAATGAAATGAAATGAAAATAAGCATACATAGTAGGCCTATCTATATTCTTGCCATCCGTGTTTTTTTTTTGTTTTTTTTATTCATTCATTCGGACAAAAGATTACAGTAACAAAATATACAAAGATTGAAAATGACAAAAACTATTGGAAAACGGAAACCTACATTATACACTGGCCAGGATCGCCGGATCCCAAGCGGGAGCCCAGAAACAGGGATGGCGCCAGGATTTGCACGACGGGGGGGGGGGGGCGACGTCCCCGACGGGGGGGCCGATGCGACGAGGGGTCAGATTTCCCCGACGAAAGCAGAGTGGGCGCCCTCGAGCTTCGATTAAAAGGTTTCGAAAGTGGTCCGTGGGGGGGGGGGATCCCCGAAAACTTTGACAATTTAGGGGTTTCAAAGGCTTATTTAATCGATTGTATAGGTATAGACTACTAATATGTAGAAAATACATATAATTTTTTTTCTCCCCGACGAATTGTGCTTTTTCTTCCCGAAGGTGGGGCCAGCACTCCCCGACGGGGCCCCCCCCCCCCCCCCCCCCCCCCCATCCAGGTCCTGAAGAAAAAGTAGGATTAGTTTAAAAGTAGGACATATTCCAGTGTCGATACTTAATTTTTAAAATGAAAAATAAATATAAATAGATATATTTTTAATTGGCCCTGCCTATTTTCGCTCGAATAACTGGTATCCCGCATTTACGCTACATCGACATAATGCCAGAAAAACCAAGGAAAGAGCAGGCCTAATTTTTGGCTAAAACGTAGAAGGGAAAACGTCCTAATAGGGGGTCAGACTAAGAGCAAAGTTGAGATTTAGATGAGCTCTTAAAATATGAAACCCTACCAAGTTGGGAACTTTCATCAGATTTAGCTCCACTGTTGTTGAAATGCCTAGAAGCCACTTACTATTAGCCTCCTAGTCTCGACGGGGAATACCCCATCTGCGGCTCGAAGGTAAGGTTGACTAGGTAAGGCTGAGGTCGAGGCCTAGGCAAGCCTAGTCGTCCTCACGCTACAGAGGCCTAGTCAGAACGGGCTTGCTCCACAAAACGGTGCACCCTTTTCTTTTTTAAACACTTTTATCAAAAAGCAAAACTATAACCTAATTAACAATAGGCCAGTACAGCAGCGACCGACTTGAGTGTGTAACGAAGGGGATCACTTTTGCGTTACTGTAGTGTTGGGCGGGGGAAGGGGTAGGTGGTACCTTCAAAGTTTTAGCATAATACAGATAAACTATGCCTACATTCCAAAACTTTGCACAAATTTACTTGCACAGTTTCATCTTTGAAAATGTTTTTTCCAGGCAGTTTTCAAACTACACAGATCTGACAAACTGCTTTAATGTAGCTTAGGCAAAAAAAATCCAACTTGCCTTTTTTTTTACTGTACACGTACATACTTTAACCAAGCTGTGTTCATTTTTTATATCAATTCCTACTGGTACTAAATCGAACTTTAATTGGTTGCTAGCTAACAAAAGCCAGACAAGATAGTGAGCTATTTATATATATAAAGGAATTTCCCTTCATAGATGAAATTGTACAAGGATATAAATTTAGTGATTCTTTAAACTTATGTTACAGTAAGATTGCATGTATAGTCAAGTTTGTGTGTAAAGTGAAAATAAGTATGTTATATAGTCTTGCCCTTTTATCCACCATAACAATATTGCAAAAATACAATTTTGTATTCTTGCTTAATGTTTAATTGTTGTACAATTTGACTATTTATAGGGATTTTTTTTTTACAACATCATTTTTTATGATATTATTATTTTGTATTGATTTTCAGGAGGCGTAATCTGCCGAGGTTTGATCGCTACTTTTCCAAATCATAAAATTGATACATTTATCAGCTTATCATGTCCTCTACTAGGCCAGTACGGTTGTAAGTGGGGAGGGATGGTAGTGATTTACAATGCACAATCAGCAGTGATGTTGATAGTCTGTGCGTGAAATACTTACCGTAAGTGCTTGAATAAGCGCCGTGGCACTTATAAAATCTTTGGAGGCTTCAGTGTGACGCTTATAAAAAATAATGCCCGTTGCCATGTTACTTACCTCACGTATTCCCGTAGTTCAGTAGGCCTATCATGGGTCCTACGCCATTGTAAATAAACTAAAGAAATGCTTGCGTCTTCATTGTGTTATTTATTCATTTTAAAACTTTATACATTGTATCAAAGAGATGTGTATAAGAGACAGTTACTATTCAGTGTGAGTATTTTAATATTACTTATTCTATTTGTGTTTTTATAGGATGAAGTGTTGAAAGGTATTGAGTACTATTATTTATGATTATACTGTACTACTTTAATTCTTTAGCATAGTTTATAATGAAGGATGTGTTTGTGATTGGCCTGTGGTTGCATGCAGATGACCACCACTGTAAAGGTTTTGCTCTACTGCATGGCTATCTAAGAAGAGCAATTCTTAAAGAGAATATAATTCATTTCTTAAACAAAACACCATCTTTTTTGCAAAAAAGTGGGTAATTTCTGAGGAGGTTGTTTGTGGGGTTGGAAATTGCCGGTAGGGATGGGAAAGTACTGGTACTACTCCCTGTGGGATGGGGAATTTCTTGACTGGGATGGGTTACTCCCTAGCAAGAGCAAAAAGATAATATTTTTGAAGTAATTCATAACCCTAAAGTGAGGGACTTCTTCCAAATTGGGACCCTTTGTACATGTGCAATATCAATTTCCTTTAACATTTTAAAAATATTTTATTCATCATCTACATTATCGTTCATCTTGATCCTGTTTAATTATTGGTTATTGATGAAATTTGAATTGAAACTAGGTTGCAATTGTAAATAGAGCTGATTTTCACATTTCGATTTAATATGTAACAGTAGAGAGTGAATGTCTATGAAATAAAGAACAAAGCAAATTAAAGATGTATTGTTCCCTGAAAAATGACAAAAAATTTTAAAAAATTATTTTGAAATCAACTTGCTCATTTTTCAATAACATACAAATTATTAAATTGAGCATAGGAATTAATGAATTAAAAAAATGTGTACCCTGATTTTTATACTGGATAATGATAAAAATTATAAAAATACTTCCAGTGACTGGAAGTATTCTATCATTTTTTGCTGTAAATTATGGGTAAACATTTTTAAATAAACTCATTTCTATGTTCAAGTTGGTGATATTTGTTACTTCAAAATGAGCAAGTTAATTTAAAAAACAAAAAAGATTTTTATTATATTTTTTTATATTTTTTATTGTTAAGTTTCTCACTACCTGATTTACAACTCTAACCAAGGTGTAGGCAGTATACTATTTAAGTATCTGTTATTTTGGCAAGAAAAGCATTTATTTTTTAGATAATTTTCTTTTGTGTAACCAGTGAGATAAATGTTACAAACCTGAATATAAATTCAAAAATATCAAAAATAAAAAATTATTTTAAAAAAATTATTAAAATATTTAAAAAGTATTAAATTAATTTTTAACAATTTAATTTAATTTTTAATTTAATTTAATTTTTTATAATTTTAATTGTGTTTAACCAGTGAAATAAATGTTTAAAAAAATTAAAAAAAATTTCAAAATAAAAAAAAAGTATTTAAAAATATTTGATTGTTCTAATTTTTTAGATTTTCTTACTGGTTTCTTGCAGGAAACTTATTTAAACCCTCAACTAAAGCATACTGTAACCAAGATGGCCATGTTATTGCAACTGTTACTCACTTCTCTCATCCTGCACCAAGTGTATGCCTATAAGCCGCTTGTAATTGTTCATGGAATATTTTCTGATCCTACACATTTTGATGGATTTGTTAAGATGGTTACAAAGGTAAGAAAGGCATATTTCATATAGGGTTTTGTGTTGTATAGTCCATCTGCCTGACATGGAGATCTGACAATTTTTGATGGATGCCAGCGAAGCCCTGTTGGGTGGGAGTTCGGGGCTGGTGTTGCCAACATTTTTTTTCCCTTTTTTTATTGGACAAGTCATACGCAAAAGGGGCTTGTCGTATTCAATGGGAGATGAAGCCCCTGCCTTCTTGCAGGTGTTGCCAATGAATACAAATAGAGGAGCAGAGAAAATGAAGAATATTAGAATTGGTTGTATTAGCTTGGAAAATAACAACAATAATATCTAACAATTACAACAGGCCCACCCAGGGACAAACATCACTGTTATTAAAGCATTCGATGGACCTGACAGTCTCGCCCCTTTATGGAGCCAAGTGGAAAAATTCCGGAGTGATGTGAAGGCAGTTGTAGACAATAATCCACAAGGAATACACCTATTATGCTACTCACAAGGTATTTATTTAGTGATTCTTTAAACTTATGTTACAGTAAGATTGCATGTATAGTCAAGTTTGTGTGTAAAGTGAAAATAAGTATGTTATATAGTCTTGCCCTTTTATCCACCATAACAATATTGCAAAAATACAATTTTGTATTCTTGCTTAATGTTTAATTGTTGTACAATTTGACTATTTATAGGGATTTTTTTTTTACAACATCATTTTTTATGATATTATTATTTTGTATTGATTTACAGGAGGTGTAATCTGCCGAGGTTTGATCGCTACTTTTCCAAATCATAAAATTGATACATTTATCAGCTTATCATGTCCTCTACTAGGCCAGTACGGTGGTAAGTGGGGAGTTGTGGTAGTGATTTACAATGCACAATCAGCAGTGATGTTGATAGTCTGTGCGTGAAATACTTACCGTAAATGCTTGAATAAGCGCCGTGTCGCTTATAAAATCTTTGGAGGCTTCAGCGTGACGCTTATAAAAAATAATGCCCGTTGCCATGTTACTTACCTCACGTATTCCCGTAGTTCAGTAGGCCTATCATGGGTCCTACGCCATTGTAAATAAACTAAAGAAATGCTTGCGTCTTCATTGTGTTATTTATTCATTTTAAAACTTTATACATTGTATCAAAGTGTTTCATTACACACACGGTAATATAATTATACTCTCAATTAAGTGCCACGGCACTTATTCGAGAGAGGCACTTAGCGAAAAGGGTCAGTTGGTTGTGGCGGTTATTCGAGACCGGCGCTTATTGGAGCATTTACGGTACTTAATATGCATAGATGCCTTTTGGTATGATGCACTACATAAGGTGACATATGTGGATAAACGAATGAAGGATGAGGATGAGCATGGGGTGAATATAAATATGCTGGGATGGACAGTTCTGTTATTTTCAAAGATTGTATTTAAACTTCAAGGCAAAACAAAAATGGCAACACAGATTCAACCAACTGCAGATTCTGTAAAATGATGGTGGCATCTATTTTTCTTTTATTATTATCGTAATTATTATTCCAAAACTATAAATTGAAAAAAAAACACGCCAAAACAGGCTAAAAGAGATGAATCCAGCATGATTGCATCATTTCATTTAATAGATCTAATGCAGAATTTGCTACCATTGCCATCATTAACAAAAAGTTTTATCTGCTTTGATTACCATGATTATCACTCACTGTCTTATTTTTAAGTTCTTTGATTATATTTTTTTTAGTAACTGATGTCGTCAAAAAGTACATCCGAGCAAAGTTCAGGGAAGATGTTTACAAGTAAGTCAGCAGTTGGTTGTAACATGTCAGTGGTGGCTCCAGAGATTTGCCAATGAGGGTGGGGGTTAAATGGTCTGACAAGTTGTCTTGAACAAACGAGCTGTCTAACTGCTTCTGGTCAGGGTTGAAAACACTGATTGAGTGAAAGGTTGGGGGGGGGGAGAGATTTTTTTTGGATTAGGATGGTAAAAAGCGATAGCACCTGATAGGACAAGAAGGATGTGGAATACAATTGAACCAGGGATACTCCCCCCCCCCCAATAAAAAGCAGAGGAGACTACCCTTGGTGCTTTACTATTATTCAATGCTTATATGAATATTTATATTTAAATAGTCCCCTAGATTGATGAAGCATTATTGTGTCTACTGTCCTTTGAGCCCAGTTTGTCAATCCGAAAGCGTAAAGTTTGACCGTGAAGTTGACATTAAGTAATTGGTGACCTGGGGAGAACGGAATCATTAAATTTTTTGCGCATGCACCTTGCTTGTTAGCTCTGCGATGTCTAGTGTAAGTTCTATGTAGGTAGGTCTAAATAACTGCTGGACAATGTATTACTATTGTGTATTACAATATTTTTTTTTTCATTTCTTTTAGAATATGTTACACAGAAGCTTTTCAGGTTGTATCAGTGTGCAATTATTGGAATGGTAAACACGCGTATAATTTTATTCCTTATGGATATATCAAACTTTCTCCTAACACACATCCACATACCCCATTCTTTACTCGTACTCACAGATTCACCCCACCCCACACATACTGATGCAAATACATATACTCACCATGCACTCACCATATCCAGGTTGGATTCAGGTTTTTAAATACCTGGTCAAGGTTACACAGGAAGAGGAGTGTGGCTTGAGTTTTCAAATTTATTGCTAAAATAATTTTGATGTTTGTGTCAGAAAATTTGATAGGAATGACGTTTTTGCCCAGGTGCAGGTTTAGTGACTATGACACCAGGCTAGTTAATTAGAGGTTGTGGATTCGATTCCTACCTGAATCACTTGAAGTTCAGAATGATAACTTGTCAGGTAGGGTAAAAACGTCATTCCTATTGCTAAAATGTTAGCAATACATGTTACACTTTCATGATGATGTCAATGATGGACATACTTTGTTTATATATTTTTTAAATATCAAATATTTAAATTTTTGTTTTAACTTCAGATCCTCATCAGCGAGAGAAGTACTTGAAAGAAAATATATACCTTCCACCGCTCAACAATGAAACTTATAATTCCAAGAGTCTTGGTAAATTTACTGCAAGACCATTCTTCTATTTATGACCAAGTTTAGTAGTTGTAGGAGTAAAAAATACCAGATGTAGGAGTAAAAAGTACCAGCAACACGATTCCATTGGTCACCATTAAAACATTAGGAAGCTTATCCCAAATCTTTTTTAATAAAGCTCTTTTCAGACAGAAATTAATAATAATATTGCGGCAAACTTGTTCCATGGTCAGCGTACTAGAATCTGTAATGTACTGATCTTTTACCTTCCTGCGGCAAAAGCACCTCCCAAAACAAAAAGTGTCAAGATATATCCTGATATAATCATCAGGATAACTGGAAGTTTCAATGGCTAAGCACACACTATGACTCACCTTATAATGAAAGAAAAACAGGACCATATATATATATATATATATATATATCTGTCTCTTATACACATCTAGATGTGTATAAGAGACAGACATCTGTACTGTACTGTACCTGTCTCTTATACACATCTAGATGTGTATAAGAGACAGCTTCTAAAGTAATTGTCACTCTCTACCCTCTGAACTTGTCATTGTGCACCATTTCCATCTGTTAAGATATGTCAATTAGGTGTACTAATAAAATATAATACTGTACTATACTATATAAATGATCAATGGAAATTACTACACATACGATATGAAAATACCACTATACTATAAAACTGAAAAACAAAAACACAGGTATCAATAAAATTAACAATATTAAAATTGTAATTAATATTAATTCAAACGTTCACTAATATTTATTAACTGTTTCATTCATTTCAGAATGGAAGAAAAATTTTCTTCAGTTAAAGAAGTTAATTTTGATTGGCGGGCCAGATGATGGGGTCATAACCCCATGGCAGTCAAGGTACATATTATTTCCTTAAAGTCGTAACATTTGTTATTAACATTTAACATTTATATATGTCATGTGTAAAGCTAAGCACTCACTGCACCTCTCTAAGTCATCCGACACGATTCTATGGAAAACGCAACACAACACGGCGCGCGCCGCAAGAGATCGTTTTCAATGACGATCCGTTCACACTGCCACCGACAATCAGCAGACGGTGTTCCGTCATCTGGCGCTCACAGAGAATGAAGTTAGATTCTCCGTACAACACAGCGAGTGCCCGGCATTAAAGTGACTTCTGTAGTGCTCAGTGGCCATGCAATGGATGTGAGTGAGGCTCTCATTAGCCGTGTGTTGTTTTTTTTTTCTGTACATTGAGTAAGAATCATGTGTTAAATTTGGAACTATGGTATGGTTTCTTGCAGTCAATTTGGCTTCTATGATGCAAATGAGAACATTGTTGAGATGACAAATCAAGAAGTAAGTTGAAGAAAATAATGTTTCATTTCTGATTTCATAAAGCTACCACAATACAACAGCTACTCAACTCTGGGAAACACACTTGTAAAAAAGGCTCAAATATTTGTATAAAAATGTCCATAATGAGATGTAACTGCTAGCAATCTTTGGCCAGAGGAAATTGCATACAAGTACAGTACAAAAATAATATAACAATTTAAAAATTATCATTAAAATACAGTAAGCTATTATAAAAATAAGGAGTGGAGTTTGGTGGTTACGATGCTTGCCTTCCAATCCCAGGGTCCTGGGTTCAATTCCTCTCATGTTAGCATGATGTTTTCTCACAACCAATCAATGAGCCAAATGAAACTTTATTATTTAGAGCATCTTGTCTTTGTTTGTTATTGGGATATGCCACTTAGAATAGTATTTGCTGTTTGGGTCTAAGACATTTAATAAAAATAATTAAAATTTACAATTAATAATTTAATTATTACATACCTCATTATTAAAATTATTTATATTATATTTCATTTACCACATTTTCAAATGAATTTTCATTTCCCTGAGTTTCCAAAAATGCTGAACTCTTAAAATATTGATCACTTTGATTCCACAATTTTTTTAAATAGGTTTTCCTCAAAGATTCATTTGGCTTGCAAAGCATGCATGATAGCGGCAGAATTCAAACTTACACCATCTCTGGAGTAGCGCATACATCCTGGCATGACAATCAGACTGTGTTTGACAAATGCATTGAGCCTTGGTTGACATAGAGCACAGATGGACGAAGTGCGGCCCACTTGCCAGATGCGGCCCAACATCATTGTTGTCGTGGCCTCAAAAATAAAAAATAAAAAACCTTTGTGTGGCCACCTAATGTTATCAACCTAATTATTGCATAGAGATAGGGATTTGACCATTTTATATTTCAATTTGGAAATATATTTGGTGCTTATGTTTTGATAAACATTATTTATTGCATCATGAGACATATAGCACATAGAAAGTTTGTAATAATATATACTCTATGAATCCAAAAACACTCACTATTAGTGAAGAGCATTATATCGATACAGGATGTACCTGATTGGTCAATTTTTACCCTTGACCTCTTTAAGATTCTTTGTATAGTTGGAAGTTCAGTTTTATAAGCTTTTACATAAGTGTATGAAATAAATAATGTACAAGTCAGCTGATATAAATATGCATAATATATTTTTTTAATATATCGTATTTACAGAGTCTTTGTCATGTTTGCCAAGAATATTTTTAAAGATATCTTTTATTTATATATATGCAGAGATACAAGTTGTAGAATATATAATACTCAGTGTTTACAAATGCAATGCACGTAAAGTTTTTAGATTAGTTTGTACAAATACTTTGTTTAAAATAATCTTGAAATATTGTAGATATACCAAAAAACCTTGAATTGAAGCCCTGGGCCTCTTGTTTTTTGGGGTTTTTTTTGTGAACTTTGGATGGGCTTCTTTTCGAGATGGGCTTCATTTCAAGATGGGTTTCTTTTTTAGGCTACTTTTGCAAAGAAAAGAGGGGGCTTCTTTTCAAAATGAATGCAGTAAGTTTTGTGAATTTGTACTATAAAACAAAAGATAAGGCAACTGTAATATCAATCTGTATCATGAAGTGTATTTAAATGGCATTAAATCACCTAAACTACGGTATAAACCAAGCTTGTTTTTAATTTATTTTGTTTTCTGAAATTCATGTACAGTGTTTGTACTGTACTGTACTCTCTCGAAAAGATCCCTATGCTTTCTTGAAAAGAAGCCAATGGGCGGCTTTTTTTCGAGGCTAATGTTGCAAACTAAAGAGGGGGCTTCACTTCGAGATGGGCTTAATCTCAAGATTAAGCCTTTTGGGCTTCAATTCGAGGTTTTATGGTATCTTACGCAGGTTTATATATCATTGGAATGTGTAGAATATTTCTATGCAACAGTTAAGTATGCTCCAATCATAAATGTTATTTTATTATTAATGTACTGTAAAACTATGTTGGTCCATGATTTATCAGTGTGTCTTAAATAACTCCAGTCCATCTTTTGTTTCATTTGTGGCTTGTGTTTATCTTACTGTTTTTTCGTGATATTAGCTTATTTGCAAATATTAAGGGTAACAAAATTAATGGGTTTATGTTAATTTATTTATGTTTACATTTTACATTGGTTTAATCAGTGTCTAATATATTCACATCTGTAATTGCCTTTTGCGTTGTTGACCAACAAAGGAAAAGCAAATATATTTTAAGATATACGGTAAAATATGATGATTATGACATTGAGCCAGAATCATGGCTTGATAAATCTAAGATTGACATTGGAATTGTTCCTTCTGGAAGAAAAATAAATATTTTAAAACTATATTACATTACGAGACAAAACCAAGGAAACATTTGCTTTTTCTTTGCACAAAAATGTCAAAAGCTATCCTTTATTTCTGTAAACATAAACTTTTAATCCATATTTTACACTAGATTAAGTCTTAGTTGTATGAAATCTGCTATGTATCACTCAACATTTATGTAATAATTTAGAAATTAAAATATAAGTATTAAATAATATTTTACATCGGGTATTGCAAGAGCTTCCAGTAGGAAAATAAATAGTGTATAGTCAGAAGCTTCAACACGAGTCTGTGTCTTTTTTCATCTCTTTATTCTTGTATGCTTCCAGTTCATTGGTGACTTGTCTCAACGTTTCCTTTAATTTTTTATTTTCATCTTCAAGTTCTGTAACCTTGACACAAGCAGCAAGAACATTCAGTGCATAGTACTCTGTAAAAATAATAAAATTATGATGCTGTAGTTAAGTATTATAAACTTCTGTATCTTGATTTCAACAAACCAAACACCCCTGCAGAATTCAGCCCCTCAAAAACCAACTCACTCTACTTCTTATTTCATGGGTGGAAAAAATTTGGGAGCAGTGTATCTATATATACACGAAAGCATCTTGGAAGAAAATTAATGACTGGTCAGAAAATTAAAATTCATTTACAAAGTTTTGTGAACAGTATACATACACAAACGTATACACACACAAAATACACATATACTGTAGTTTTACAGTTGTCTCATCAAGTTGCTTTGATCTGTATCCCATCCTGCATGCTGTTTTTGATCGTACTGTATATAAAACCCCAAAATAACCAAACCCAGTGCTATTTACCTCTGTTGTACGTCTGTGTCCCTTTGGTCTCATGATTTAAGATAAGCTGTTTCTTTCCTGATGCACTTCTAAAATTTTAAATGTTACTTGTAAACAATATGATAATGACAGTGTAATCATGTACGCATATGGAAATAAATATTAACATATTATTTCATACATAATATGATATATTTAATGAATTCAAAATAATATTGGTTTACATACACATTATGCATGTCCGTTGTCCTCTTCTTGGGCTGTCTTGTTTTTCTCACCGCTGTTTCTTCATAAAGTACTGGGTCGGGATACTCCTCTGTAGGTCCACTGTCGTATTTAAAATGCTTGGAATAGAAAAATGATATTTTATTCTAGACCTCGACTCTAGCCCACTCTATTGTTGTATCGTAATCATCTCATTAAATTATGGAACGACTTATTTTTTACAGTAATAAATACCATCAACACATACCTTAGAACATATGTAGGTATCCTTATTTACACGACCCACATTAAACTGACTTTGGGGTCGCCCACAAGCTTCAATCCATCGTATGCACTTTTCGTGCTGTGACTTTGGCTTAGGAAACGGAATAAAATGCAACCCAATCATCCGTTCTGGATACCTTGAGTCCGATTTACAACAGCCATAGCAACAATGCTTTACTGGCATTTTGTAAGTGGTTTGGTGACAAAATACCACAATAAACGTAGTGTACCAACCAACAACAATCTGAACTCATACGCCACACAGCAATTGTACACCGGACAAACACAAACCCAATTTTTGTCCGGTGGTTGCATGTCACGTGATTTAAAAAATACTGTAGCGATAATCGTCAACGTGAGGGCGCGGTTTCAAAAGAAATATTCATGCGGTAAAGAATCATTTTCACACAGCCTCAATCGAGGATGCCCATGAAATACATCTCGACTCAAATTGTCAATAACTGCATGTAGTATATTGTTCATAAAGCTCAATATGTAAAATAAGAATATTTCATCATTAATTGATAGGCTGCATTTCACAAAAATACAAGTTCTGCTGTTCTAATTCATATTTATAACTTATATGAAGTTGCATTTAATTTTCTTTTTTTACAAAATTATAATTATTGTAACTAATTTAGTTCAATTAAAATAACATCATATAGACTCCTTTACTTGTAAGACTGTACGTAAAAAAATCCTATTAAGGTAAAGGGGACAAATTGACGTTTTTGGTTGTTACCATTTTAAAGCGCCGAATCGGATCCGATCATCTTGCCGGGTTGAGGCTGTGTAAAAAAAGTCTCTGCCCTACCTTTGCTGTGAATCGCGCCACCTTTAGTTTTGTCAACATCATCAATTATCAATATCCTGTGGTTTTGTCTATGTCCGAAATTATTCTAATAAATATCGCCTGATTTAAGGAATGGCCAGTTTGACAACACAAACTGAAACTGTAACTGAAACTGGAGAACAACAGCCTTCAGTATGTACTTTTTAAAAACATACTTTTATAGTGGTAGACTAAGACGTTATGATGTTGTTAGGCTAGCCTGTAGGCCTAGGACGGTAGGGTTCCGCCCAAGCTAACTCCCAGCTAGGCGAGCGAGCCGCGTCTTCAACTGTCGCCGCAGCAAAAGAAGCAAGGGCCTTACCCTTAATTTTCTAGGATAAGGGACTAGTAGTAGATCACCATCTAGGCCTAGGCCTAGTAACACTATGCCAAAAAATAGATTATTCCTAGAATTATACTTATAGGCACATATCAGAAATTAAATTGATCGTTTGTGTTTACATGTAGGCCTAGACCTAATGGATGATATTTTCTTGTTTTTTTTTATTTTTAAAAAAGCCATCTGTAACATTGAAGTTAAGAAAACCGAAGTCAGACAAGAAAGTGAATTGGAAAGAAGGAACAGTAGATAATGAGGATATGGGGAGAAAGAAATCAAAGTGTAAGTGTTGGTTAATTAATGTAATAGATATACTGTAGACCTTTCCTACTGTATGTTTGTATTTAAACTTGAAAAACTACATTCAACACTTGGATTTCTTAATTTGTTTAAGTTATCAGTAGTTTCTATATTGTCAATTGAAAATTAGATGTAGAACATTTCTTACAAATTAGCATATGTATACTGTTTCTATATTATTTGTCTAGACTAGCTAAACCCTTAAGTTGTGTGGGGAAAATACGTAAAATCAAAAACTAATTTGTTTTATTTGATGCACATTTCTTCAAAATTGATAACTTTAAATAAATAAGTAATGGTTTTACAACAATTGTACTGTGGCTCACTGGTCTTTGTCAAAAATATATAAGTTTAACACGTTATGTATTTCTTTGAAAAGGTTGCTGCATCTATCAGAAACCACACACGTTTGACGAGAGCTCGTCAAGTAGCGGTAGCGACGATGATGATGAAGACTGCAAGATGTGTAAGCATCAAAAAAAGAGGAAACCAAAACAACATGAGCACACCGAACAACAAGATGATCACTGATTTATTTTAAAAAAAAGTTAACTTATTAAAATTCTAAAAAAATTGTGACATGTGTATTCAGAGTTTGGAAACCCTCAGCTTGCAATTCTAACTACTGTACACCACATCATGCCAGGGATGGATGCTAACTACTGTACACCACATCATGCCAGGGATGGATGCTAACTACTGTACACCACATCATGCCAGGGATGGATGCTAACTACTGTACACCATGTACACCACATCATGCCAGGGATGGATGCTAACTACTGTACACCACATCATGCCAGGGATGGATGCGATTTGTCATGCAATAAACACATCAAAGCATTTCAAGCTGATGACATTTAAAGACCATTCAGCCAAGTTTTCATCGCTTGATACACAGTTGTGGAAGAAGTGTAGTTATAGTAATGAATGTGAAATTCAGGGGTGTAGGCTGGTTTTGGCCTGGGTGTGCGAAAAATGAGTATGCGGAAATAATACTAGAATGCGGAACTAAATATTTATCCCAGTTTTTTTAGTATTTTAACTCACTTGCTGTCACCCCGCACCATCCCAGTCTACGTCCATGAAATTGTTAGTACAGTAATGCTTTCAAAATTTCAGTTGTACACTATGACACTCTTCATGCTTGAGTAAGCAGACCTTGCACTTTTTAAGCTGAAATGAATGCTTTGACATGTGTACTTATAAATTATTTTATATAAAAATGTAATATTTGCTCTGTAATCTAATGATCTATTTAAAATGTCAGTGTTTTGTTATGTTCTTGTACTATATATTGTAATGTATGCGAGTGAATGTGTGAATAGTGTACAAAATATTTTATAGCAATTTTAAATTGTATTTTTTCCCAAAAATTGATTTGAAATAAAATTCAACGGTAGTTTACATGTATTGTAAGTACTGTACTATGGTCAACAATAATGACACTCGCATGAGTTTTTGACTATGAAGATTTAATAATTAATTTTAAAGATTTAAAACCAATATTTGATTAATTTTTACATCAAGTTGTACAAACACTTGACCTTTTATCTTCCAAATATACACATAACATGCAGAGATGGACTCTTCCTAAGTTTTCAGTTTGATACAGAATCTAGATGCCGAAACAGAAATAAAATATTCAGCAATGAGAACAAAGCTTGCTTAGCTACCATTTGCGATGTTCTAAATAATATATTGTATGAAACAATCCAGACTAAACCACAGATTTAATATATTGTATGTTTAGAGCAAATATTAACCTATTTTCGCAGTTCAGTAATTGGAAAATAAATGTCAGTAACTCACAGTATGATTATTAAGCACTGTGAGTTGCAGTGATGACGTCATGATTGACTTATATTATTTTATACCATCCTGTTATTCAAGTTACCGGAACAGCACCTGAGCACTTCCCATACTTGATGCGTTAACAATACATACCAAATACTCAGTACATTCCCAAATACCTGCGGAAAAAAATGCAAGTGATTTGGGTGGGAATTGAACCCACGACCTCCAGATAACTAGACTGGCACCATAACTACTAGACTGCCGAGCTTCCACTTAAAGACTTTTTTCGCAATTACTTGGGTAAGTACTGAGTATTCAGTACGATATATCATGTCAGGTAGGGCAAAACATCACTCCTATATTTTCTGATGCACACACATCAAAATTTCCTAACTTCCTAAATAGACAATTTAGACTCATTCTAATTCAACAACTGTGATGAGCTGGAAAAAATGTAATCTGAATATTTACAGCAAGTTGTAAATAAATTGGATTATTTTTTTAATGTTTTGCTAATTAACGAGTGTTAATATTGTTCCTATATACATTTGCACTGACTCAAATGGGTCACTAAGTAATCGCTTATTCATAAACAATCATTTCAATTTACAGATTCTTGTAGTAAAATTTCAATAAATCAGCAAAAACAAGCAATTTTTGGATTTTTATTTAATTTTTTCCTGATTTCACACCAGACTGTATATATTTATTAGTAACAAAGTACAGTAGTACATTAAAAAAATGATATTTAATAGCAAAGATTATAGAAAGAATGTTGATATAATATTTGTAATGACCATAAAAAATCTTGAATAATGATTAAAATGCTCTACACTGTATAATTATACTTCAATAAATGGTCCATTATTCTACTGAATTGATTATCATGGCACAATATAAATTTACTAAAATAAATCTATTCAAAAGCATTTTCAAAAAACAAAATTTGTTCAAATTTAAAACTTTATACAGACAGTATAATTTGCTTTATGAATGACTGACAGGTTGAAACCACACCCATCCTTCTATTGCACTAAACCAAAGACTATAGAACTGCAAGAGGTCCGATACTCGGGGTTCAGCTGGAACGCAATCTTATCTCAAAAAAGTACTACAAACTAGAGGGCGTCTTTCAAAAGAACGTATTTGTAAACATGGTGCTCTATCTCATGCAGTGGGGTGGGGGGCACACCCTTCCAAAAAATTACTAATGCCCCCAGTTGCGCCCCCCAAAAAATCACAGTCAAGTAGTTAAAAATCACTTAAATCACTTTATTTTGCGAAATAGTGCCCTTCAACTGACCATCGAACTCGCCTACTTCACCTTCGCGTGCCCCCCTCCCATCAGCACCCTCCTTTCAAGACTTCTAGATACACCATTGATCTCGTGGTAGTACTTTTTAAAATTTTTATTGCGTGCATACAAAATCAGGGCAGTCGGACCGCTTGAAATTCTATACTCTCTGACTAAACCCACCAATCACATGTCTAGCTGCTGTCTTCTTAAACATATTTTACTCCATACATTTTTAGTGGTTTATTTACATATTACAGTATCATACATTCATTTGATAAACTATTCAAAAATTTAATATTTACAAATGCTGTATTTGAAAAAAAGTATTACACAAAGTTAAATTAATATGTTAATATCGATGGTGTATTAATGTTCCTTACTACAATACCAGGTAAATATTAATACAAAAAAATACATTATTAAATTACGAAGGTAAAATAATAATAGTTCTAAGGAACCAATGATCATATTAGAATCAATGATAGAATATGTGGCAAAGACAAGCCAAACCAGTCACTCGTCGCAAAAATTTATTTTGAGTTATTAATACAGTGTTACAAAGTAAAATAATAGCTATAAAATGGTAAAAAAATCATTCAAATCGGACATTTCCTTATGAAGTTACAAGCGTTTAAACATACAGCTGTTTAAAGAACAATAAAGGAACAAGATAAACCACAACTCCTGCAGACAACCCTGGATCTGTCTCTTATACACATCTAGATGTGCATAAGAGACATATGTAAAGATTAGTTTAGTGCAATAAAATAGATTTTTAAAAATTTGACATTCCAGCATGTTTTGGCCATTTTCTCTGAAACACGATTTGCGACGAGTGACTGGTTTGGCTTGTCTTTGCCACATATGGTTTCATCATGAGGGGAGAACCTGTCCAACAACTTTCCTCCCAAGGATTGTCTGATTATTGTAGACTTTCAAACAATGAATTGCTCTTTTTAACACTAAAATTGATAAAAACAAAGGTACATGTCTTTATTGATATTTATTTCCATATCAATAAATAAAATTACAGACTGCCATATGCTGATCACTACTGCAGAAAACAATTTGATTTCTCTGGTTTTTTTCTGGTAACTTAACATGGTAAAAATGAAGGCCATGCCACACCTTGCGAAGCAGCTGGAAAAAAGTACTATAGTCCCGACTTCTCATAGAAATGTTTATAACAAAAAGGCACTTATATAGCGCCAGTATCCGTCTTGCTACTAAATATTTTTCAAGCGGAATGCGCTATGGTAGAAGTGATTTTAAATCCCTCTTGAAAATGAACAAAAAAATCTCCAAATGGCAAAAGCTAATTAACCAATAGCTATACATGTTGCCTATAGTCATTATGAAACAGTTAGCTTGACCAATTCATTGACTGATTGATAGGCACTATTAGGACAGTGTCTTATCATACTTTCACCAATTTTCATTAATGCCTTCTTTGAGAATCAGGAAGATTAGCGAAATATAAAAATAAACAAAAGGTACAGAGGTCCTTAATTGGTATCATTGGAGTTACACTGTGATGGGCCAAAAAAAAAACTTGTTATTTGCATTGCTTTTTTGTGTGTTTAAGGCAAATAAATAATACTGTCCTTATATTCTTTGCATAGTCCCATAAATTGGATGGTAGTCAATTTATGATTTTCATAGTGAAAAGTCAGTAAATCAGTGAAAACTGAGTGGGTTTGGTCTGTCTCATTGAAAGTTGACAATTTGGCTGATACTTTTCAAATGACTAATTTAATAGTTTAATTTCATTTTAGAATTTTAGAATTTTTCTAAGTTTTATCACAGGCAGTATGTATTTAGGGTTCTAGCTTAATTTGTTCCTAATTTTCTATATCATAAGGCGGTTCCCTACCCAGCTTAGTAAATATATTAGACCCATATTTTCCATTTTTGGATGAGCCTATTGTCATTCCAATTAACATCCCCACTGGAAATTATTACCATACAATATATGCAAGTAGATTTTTGGCTACCGTGTCCCTGTACTCAGCCCTAAACATTTAAACATTCAATCTGTTGTGTCTACTGTATCTATAAATTTTTCATACAAAAACAATATTTAACATATGTTGTGAATTTTAAACTTAAACTCATCATCAAACTCTTTTCAACAGACCTAAATAAATTGTCTTCTTACAGCAAAGAGGTAACCAGTAGGCTTACATATAAAAGACAAGCTTTACAGCCAGAGTCAAATGCGCCAATGCTAGCAGGCCCTGTAATATGCATAGATTGAGGCCTTGAGCATGAAAGTATAAGCCTACTTTAAGCTTTGGTAGTGAATGCTATTGTGTAATAATATTTAACAGTAATCTATCACTATTACATACTTGAATGACAGACACGTATCCAATACAGTAATATCATATTAAAACGTTTTATATTTCAAATGCTGTCCATTGTTACATTTATGAGTATGGTATAATTTTTATATATCAATATCGAACTATAAAATCATAATATTATGCAAATATTAATATCTATAGTATGCAATGAATTATAATGATTTACTACAGTATTATCATTCTGTAACAATTTCTTTTTAAATATTTAATTAAGGGAACATAATTTTTTAAGACTACAATATACAATATATAGGCTAAAAATTTTTAACAAAGAAAAGTGTGTATAAAAAAATAATCCAAACATCACAACAAAAATAACATTTACAAAAGGACAAACATAGGGCAAATGAAAAATGAAATACAAGACAAGTACTGTGCATTGACAGAAAGTGATTATCATCTGATACAATGCAGTATTTATGTGGAAAGTTTTAAGATATTGGGATAGGATATACTCCAAAATTTTTGTCCACTAAATCTAACACCGTTTTAAAAGATGATTGAACGCAGGTGAATATAAATGTTTAGCATAGTTCTAGTAGACTTTGTGGAAGTACAATTTAGTTTGGAATAAGTAACATATGTAATTAAACTTTATGGATTCTGTTAGTTGTTTTGAATTTGCACAGAAGTAGCCTTTTACCAAAATAAGAGCGGTTTGGCGCAACGGTTGCGGTTCTGCTCCTCAACCTTGAGGTTGGAGGTTCAATCCCTTGCTGTGTATTTTGTTTGTGTCCTTAGGCAAGGCACTTTACCTATGGTTGTCTCTCTCACCCAGGAGTACAAGTGGATACCTGGTAGGTTCACACACAAAATGTGCTGATTACAGCTGCAACATTACAGAATTCTCCCTGCAGGGAAATGAGTATGTGTTCCACATGCATTTGATCCAATGACTGAGGGTAGTAATATTAAGCGCATAGATGTCTCTAAATGTGCAATATATAACCATTAATATTATTATACTTATCCAATTGACCTTTCTGCTTAAAATCTCTTGAATATCGTTGCTCAATATCATTGCATGAATGTATGAAAAAACTTTGTGGGAAATGTGTGCATTACAAATACCACCACTGGTACTGTATGTACCAATACCACCACTGGTACTGTATGTTTTAATACCACCTTTGGTACTGTATGTACCAATCACCAAAATGAGAACTGTTTTTGCTTGGTATACTGTAAAAATATCAGGTCAAACTTGGTTAAACATAGCAATGTTTCAGCAAACTTTGATAAATACATTCACATACATATTCTCTTGAATATCGTTGCTCAATATCATTGCATGAATGTATGAAAAAACTTTGTGGGAAATGTGTGCATTACAAATACCACCACTGGTACTGTATGTACCAATACCACCACTGGTACTGTATGTTTTAATACCACCTTTGGTACTGTATGTACCAATCACCAAAATGAGAACTGTTTTTGCTTGGTATACTGTAAAAATATCAGGTCAAACTTGGTTAAACATAGCAATGTTTCAGCAAACTTTGATAAATACATTCACACTGTACATACCAATCACTCGTTGGTACAGTGTGTACCAATAAAACCATTGGTACTGTATTTTATTTTAAAAATCAAGCATCTTTTTCACTGTACAAATATCAAATCAAATTGTTTTTTCACAATATATTCCGTAAAAATATGAAAACATAAATTAGCAAGAATTGATAAGTACATACGATACTCTATACCAAACCAAATCTTTGGTACAGTATTAACCAATACAACCACTGGTACTGTATGTACCAGTCACCAAAATTAACATTTCTTTCATGTGGCATACCGTACAAAATATCAAATAAAATTTGGTTGAATTTAGCACTTCAGCTGCCAGCAATATATTACCTGTTCAGTATTAACTTCTCTACTGCCCTACTGCATAATGGATGCTAGTTGATAGGCCCTACAGGTGTTCACCAGAAACATGGACAAGTAAATTACCTGTTCAGATTTACCTTCATCTCTATTGGTCTCCTGCATAACGGACACTGGTTGATGTCACCTGAACAGGTGTTGCAACAGCATACATGTCCACAATTTAAAAAGAGTGTATTAGACTAAAAAACAAAAATATATGTAACATAAATATCAATATTTCAAGTTTGTGCAATGAATTAGTATAAGAAATGATCGGAACTATGCCTACTTTAAGGAGTAGGAATATATTTTAAGGCTAGTTTAAGTGGGTTTTTCAATTTTTTTTTATGAACACCAAGATTTTCTCATTTGTTCTCATAAAGGTGTAGTAGAGTTACAAACAATTGTGCCCACCACCACTAATATTATTATTACTACAATACTATTATATTATATACAAAATATTTGTTACAAAAAGCATTATATCCACAATAAACTTACATTATTATTCAAGCATACAACACATTCAGTGCTGACATGAACTGTGACCTCTGAAGGTGCAAGTGCACCAGCAGCTGATTCAAGTTCTTCTGGGGGAGCTGACGGCGTAGCTGCACCACTTTCAATGTCTTTGGTCTTCTTCTCCGAATTGGCCTCTTCCTTCACATACCCCTCAATGCCCAGCAAAATGGCTTTACGTAGATGAGCTTCACGTACACCAATCTAAAAGAGAGGAACAATAATGATAAAATTCAGTAGGCTTGATAAAATAATAGAAACAATAATGTAAAAATACAATAACTCAAAGTTTAATTAATAAAAATGACAAGAATTCTATCAAATTAAATAGCAATAATAAAATTTAAATTAATAACTGTGGAACTGTCACATTAATTTAGTATTAGCCACAAATTGAAATTACCCATAATGCCTGAAGGTGAACTTACTGTTTTGAGGTCATCATCATCCATCTGGATCAAGCTCTCAATTGACACATGATGTCTGGCAAACATTGGGATGTAAATACTGGCATTGGCCTCATTTAGGATATTCTCAACAGCGTACTCCAGATTGCTCTCCTTTTAACACAACAAACAATAACAATTTTGAATGCAGTCACAAACAATGTTTGAAAAGCTGGAAAACCACCTCCATAAATAGGTTATCTGCACTACTATCATTATTAGCCACAACTTACTGCAAGTACCAACAAGTAACATGTAAAATGCAGAAAGGGAAAGGAGAAAAGGGGTAGATAGCCTAAGGGGAAACAGAGAGAGAGGTGGGGGAATGGTAGAGAAATAAGTAGAGAAGAAAGATGTAGACAGAGAGAACAGGAAATAGCAGATAGAAAGGAAGAGGTACATAGACAGGACAAGACAAGTAGAGAGGAAATTGTAGCAAGAGGAGAGACAGATAGGAGTAAGAGAGTGGACGGAGTAGTATAGATACTGTAGGTTAAACAACGAGTGGAGATTTACTTTATATAATACTGTATATACCTAGTACACTGAGTAGCAATGTTAAAGTAGAATTACAGATAAATTAGTATCTGGAAATGACAGAATTGAAATATGACACCTTCACATTCAGCACTTAAAAATTAAATAAATTGTTACCAAGTTGATGAGTGAGCGAGGTTTGCGATCCAGGAGTCTCTGGAACTGAATCAACCAGTAATCTTGCTCATCATCTTCACGTCTTCTCTCCATTTCCTCCTGAAGATAAAATAGTTAATAATATAATATTCAAAAATAAAAGATAATCAGCAGTTATGCATTTGCTATCCATAACGGTAACAGAGAAATGACAATGTACATAGGGATTAGAGTGGACATGCAAAGCCATGAAACGAACAATCCTAATTTAATTATTCTATTTAGGGGAACAATGGCAACAATAGATTAATTTTTATACCTTTATTAATTATTTAATATTACTGTCATTTGAAATTAGCATAATTGTTGATCACTTAATAACCAAAAATTGTGTCTTTAAAAGTTAAATCTGTATGTTTTTACTCTTCCCATCTTTAATATATTGATATTTTGTTTGTAATTGTGTTGAGTTCATAATTGTAGATATTGCAGAGCACTTGAGCAAATGTATTACCAATCTTTTTTTCAGTTCAAATTCCCTGTTCTCTCTCTCCAGCATCAATTGTTTTAGAAGACATGTGAGATCTAGCCTCTTTTGCTCCAGGAGTGCTTGTTCAGCATCTGCTTTTACTGCTGCTTTCTGTATCTCAAATAACGTCAAATCAGCTAACTGCTGCTCAATCAATCCAATCTAAAAGACAAGCAATTATTATTACTATTATTTATAATTTTTTTTTATTTATTGTTCTTATTAATTTATTCTCAACAGCCTATGTGATGCCATCTTAGAGAATGTCTCATTTTCTACTGTGAAAATGAAATGATGATATTAATTGATGATGATGACAATTATCTTAGTACAATTTATGTTGTTTAGCTGCCTGAGCTACTGCATGAAGCCAAGTTGGTACAGTATGAGACAATTCCTAATTTTTATAATCTTTTTAAGGTATTCTATGTACTACTGAATATGTTACAATAGGTAGGCTATCTTTTTAGCATCAGTGTTCCCACTTCACACTATTAAACAATTATCTTTAAGTTTTTTAGGCAAAGTTGGAAAACAGAAGAAAAAGCAGCCATTATTTTCTGAAAAAATGGCCACAGAACCTAAAAACAATTTTTCAAGGAAATACTGGCATTTCCCTCACCTCTCCTGTAAGTCGTTTGTGCCGTGCATCTCTTCCCATCAACAAGGTTTCAAATGCTTCCCTTTGGAAGGCTTCCTCTTTCATCAGTTCTTGTACGATACTTTCCTGGTTCACTTGCTTGGCATTTAGCATATGACCAAGTTTTTCAAAAGCATCATTTTCACTGAGAGAAAAACAAAAATAAAACTTTTACTAATCTGAATCCAAATTCTGAAAGTGCAAGAAGAACACTATGACTACTGTGTATTTTAATAAAATCAAGAATTATAAAGTAGTAAAGCACCATTACAGATCTATTGGCTAAAAAAATAATAATAATAATAATATTTAAAAAGCCAATTCAAACAAAATAAACATTCAGCAATTACTGACTACTAACAGTCTTTAACTTTAAACACTTCTATTGTGTCGCTGTAACATCAACATCATTTTTTATTGGATTGCTAATATTATTATTCCACCAAAAACCAAATAAGGTAATCACTACAGTAACATGTCTCCCCCCAAGTTAAAAGAAATACAGAGTGGATATTTCGGAAGGAAGATATATAAAGTATAATATAAGATGTACAAGGTTAAGTTGTTTGTATTATAATTTCAGGCTAAAATCACTACCTTTGCTGTGCCCTTGCCAGTACTTCCTCTTTATTTTTTTCATAGGCTTTTCGCAGCTTTTCGATGGTGAAACTTTCATTGAGTATGATATTCATTCCATTTATAATCTCCTGTTTACGGAGACTAGCATGTTCCTCTGTGGCAACTTTGAAGATTTCTTCCATTTCCATTCTAAAGTTTGAGATATGAAAAAAAAACCAATAATTAGTATTGTCACCGCCATCACCATCACCTCCACCATTATTGCTACATTACTTCTTCATCATTATCACACTGCCATCGACATCATCCTCAATATCACCATCCATAAGAACATCTCCAACAACAATGATATCATCACCACCACCATCTTCTCATTGCGGACAACAAATTTCATCACCATTATCAGAGCTTCCAACACTCCTATAATATCAGAACTAATCAATTTTTATACAATTTACAAAAGCTTTATAACAATCAGAATACGATAAGTAAATAATATAAATATATAATAATTGAAATGAATATAAATAAAGTGTAAATATAATGTAAAATGTTCCATGTTTATTTACCTCTCCTTTTCCATTTGATCAAGTAGGGCTTCTCGTCTCCGAGCCCTGCAAAGAAAATCACCAACGATCATAAAAAAATAAAATAAAAAATAAAATAACACGAAAAGCTTTTGCACTTAAAACATCAGAAACATCTCTTCAAAAGGTAACTCGTACATGGATTAACTGACGTGCCAGAATTACAGTTTCACATGGCAGTTATCATGGTATGGTCAAACTGCCAAGGTCCAACATATTTTATAATACTAAAATTAAAACTATATTAGAAACAAGAGGGTTGAATGACTTCAAATAAACAACATCAAATTTTTTATGTTAGTTTTAGTAAATTTTCTAAATAACTGATTATTAAGTTAATATAGACTTACTGTTCATTGATTTCCATTAGCTCCTTAAGAAGATTATCTGATTGTTTTTCCACTGAAAAAATAAAGAGCATGGGTTTAGTATTAAATTTGCAAATGCACTGGGCAATATTCTGAAGCTCAATGATTTGAACAGCAGCAGCAGCTGCAGCAGCAATAATAATAATAACAACAACAACAACAACAACAACAACAACAACAACAACAATAACAATAATAATAATAATAATAATAATAATAATAATAATAGTAGTAGTAGTAGTAGTAGTAGTAGTAGATGGTGTGTGTTTCTGTTTCTTTACAGTGTTTGGCATGATTTTTTGGTTGAAAAATAGGGGTTTTTTTTCAATGCAGTACTTTGAAAAGGTGTTTACTTTGGAAAATGTTTGATATAAAAGGTGCTATAAAGTACAGTACTAGATTTTTAACATTAGTTATAATAACAACATGGATTTATTTATATAACTCAATATGCCAAGGCAACTATATGCATTATATATTAAAGGTCAGAAGTTTGATCAACGAAAAAACAGAAAGCAGACAAATTCTTACTGGGGACTTATAAATGAATTGCCAAAGATTTATCAAATTATAACTTTCAATAATACTTACCATCTGATAAAGTAGCAACCATTTGCTTTCTGTTGATATCACTCAGTGTTTGTAGCTTAGCTATTCCACTATCAAGTTGCTGCTGCTCCTGAAAGTGAAAAACAAAATGAACTATAAATCATGTTCACAAGCAGAACCAGCTTCTGGTTCATCTCAATGCCCCTGCCATTTGGCTAGCACTTTTCAGCAGCTGATGACATGACAGAAGCTTTAGAAGAGAGTAAGTTGTAAGGTGAGATGCTTTTCATACCTTGTTTAGCGAATTCCGACCACCAATTTCGAGTAAAAATAAAAATCTATTTTTGGACAGTTAGCCACCATCTGCCACAAAAAACATATAATTTCAGAAAATTTATTTTTAAAATTTATTCTTAGGCTTTTCCCTGCAATCTCCAAAAATAAGATATTGTATACATATACATTACTATACTGTTCATCAATAAAATTTCATTTTTATTTTCTCCTCTTCCTACAGTAGATACTTTTGGAAAACCATTTTGCTATATTAAAGGAAAGTAATTTTTTTTTTCCTGCCCACCTCTGACGATCTTTACAAAAATAAGTTTGCTAAACAAGGTATCAAAAAGTCTTATCTAAGAATGAGCAGCAACGTTTGCCTAAAGCTCCTATCAAAGCCTTTAAACACAAATTTGGCTTTTAAGCTCGGAAGAAGATGAGTTGTCATAAAATAATGAGGTAATGATGTTCTCACCATAGCTAGTTCAGTAACAAGCTGCTGTCTCTGGTGACTGTTTCGAAGCAACACTTTCACTGTTTCTTGCTCAAACTTCTCCATCTCCTTCTCAACTGTTATACGGTCTAGACGTTTTTGTTCCTAAAATTATCAAAGGGTATTTCTTTCAACAAAAGCACGCTAAATTGTGTTAAAGTTGTACTATAGGTATTATTGCAATTATTATGTTTGAAAAAATATATTATTTAAACTGTTGTAATTACAGTACTATCATTTTCATTGCTATCACTTAATATGATCTTAACTATTATTACATTATATTATCATTACAATACAATATATTTACTTCGCATCACCATAGCCAATGTAATTGGAAATGATAGGCAGTATAACATACAAATACTGTGTATATATATATATATAAAATATAATATTGTTAATTGATAGACTTCCAAAAAAAAGCTGGTTTGAAACATAGGACATGACAGATAACTTCTCAACAAACCAAGCAATACAGATGCATAATTGTACCTTCATGTATATCTTGATAAATCTGCTTACTTCTTAGATTACCCTGCATGACTAATATAATGTATATCAGTAGAATGACCAAAATATAAAATGATTAAAATATAAACACACACACACACACATGCAACTTTATTATGGTTCACATCAACTGCATCTTTAATAGTTAGCATGAACATATAATGCCCTGGGATGAATGGTTCTATTATTTTGGCATGTTCTATTATTTTGGCATGATTGACATCTTTAAAAAGTGACTCAAAACCTTTTTATTTGCCTCTTTATAGCTACTGTTTTCTTCTTTTTTCTCTTTTTCTCTGTTTCACCTTGCTAGCTAGTGTTGTTTGTTCCAGGTTAGGAGGCACCTGATCCCAGAAAAGATCAAGACTTAACCGATGCTAACCGGAGTACATAAACACAGATCTCCAGTTGGCGGTGATGGTGTAACCCCATACTTCGGTTTGGGTGCTAGCTTGGTGTTTTTGTTTTCTTTTTTCCCCCGGCTTTTTTCTTTGTGTTCTTGACTTCATTATTGTCTAGCGCATAGAGACCTCGTTAATTTGCGCTATATAAATCCATCTATTATTACTATTATTAGTATTTAGTTAAGCAACAATTATAATAGATTATCCAGGTGCTTATTCACGCAATAAACTGTTGCCACTAGACACTCCTTTAGTTCCTTTTTGAAATCCAGAATCTACTCTTTTAATAGCAGGTCAAAGAAATACTATAATATGTATATCGTAACTATTTGTTGGGGTAGCTGGCTCATTGGGAGCCATATCACTTTCTTTAATTTGTTGATTAGTTTGAATTGATTGTGAATTGTTTGTTTATATCATTTCTGCCAAGTGTATTTTGATGGTTAAATAAATAAATAAAATTAAATATTATTTGAGGCATAAAGACAAAAGGATAGAATCTATTGAAAAACTCATAATTACAAGAATACAATACAAATCTGATAAACTATCCACACATTCTATAAGTTCATGCAGTAGATACAAACATTCTGAATTCTGAAATGGTTGCCAAGTAACTCAAATGATTAATCAAACAAAAACTGAGGGACATTGGGGGGGGGGGGGTGTTTAAAATAATTCCAAGCAAGTACTAAGCTAACAGCACTGTCTGTTACTCAACCCACCTCCTTGTCGATCGCCATAGCAAACAGGCAAGCAATCAAGTGTCATAGATGTAAAGAAGACAAAATAATCAAGTCAGAATAATGGAAAAAATGTGAAGTTGTAGTAATTATAGAATCATTGAGATAATGTAAATGACTCAGAACTTGGTTTCTTTTTTATAAACTATAAAAATATATTATTCGTTTAAAGGCTTAGAAAGTGTAGTTGTTTTTTGGCCATGACATAAATCATGGTATTCTCTGGGACTGAACACAAGACTCTGGAATTGCAAGATGAGTACCTTCACTACAACCTTTACTAAAATAATAAAATAACAATAAACAAAAAACCTACTATGTAATGTACTTCTTTTACTATCCCTTTCTCAATAATACCGCCATGATAAATTACACAGAACTTACAGTAGTATAAAAGCATAGCTGGATTTCACTTAGACAATAATTATACAGTATGTAGTGTGTATCAGATATTTTTTTTATGGTGACATAGTGTAAGTGGAAACAAAAGAGCTGACAAAATAGACATCAAATGCTTAGCTCTAATACAGTAGGTACAATACCTACAAGGTATAAAGTATATCACCTATGCAAATATATACACAAAATATGAAAATCCTAATTTTATAATGGTTAATTTACTGTCTTGTTGAAATAAAAGTAAAATTTGGCAACATGGATCTTTTTTCTTTGGTCTATTTTGCCATGTCAGAAATAAAATATAACAATCAATTTTTAAGATTTACATACAAATAATGTTTAAAGAAAAACTAAAATTAATTTTAAAATTCTATAGATGCAAGTTAGAGTTACCTTAATTTTCTCATACTGCAAGATAGTGTTCTCTAGAGCGGCATCTTCTTGCTCGATGGCCCTCAATGACTGTGCTTGATGTTCCTCTGATGTGAAAACTGGCGGATCAAGAACGTTTAGAAGGTGCTGACTTGGAGGACTGTACTCTGTACCACATTCTGTTGAAAGTAAGAAAATATAGAAAACAAATATTGAAAAATGTTGAAAATATTATCATTACTATTGAAAATATTAGTAAAAACCAATCAAGTTAAATCATGTAGCACAATTATCACATCATCATCAATACTGTCCTCATAATCATCATCAACATGAGAATGTGGATGAAGACAAAATATGATGACGATAATGATGTCAATAATATTATATTGTCATCATTGTCTCAATATTTTCAAGACCATCACCCTCATTTACATGAAGGTTATCATTATCCACACCATCAACATCATCACAATTATCAAAAACATCATAATCATCATCATAAATATCATTAAAAACAACATCAACAAGATCATTATCCTCACCAACACTGTCACCATTACCAGCAACATCATTGTCAACATCGGCATTATAATCATTATCACTATCATCATCCTTATCACCATGTTTACCCCTCATCATCATCGATATCCTCAACATCCACACTACCATTAACATTGGTGTCATTATGTAAGATCCTAGTAACACAAGACATGTACCTGTGCATAAGAATCTCATTATGCTTTCAGTTCCAGCTGAGCAAATATTGGCAGGAGGGAACTTAAACTGACTCCCATCTACTGACAAAGTCTGTAATAAAAACAATAAAAATAAAGAAGAATGTTTTCAAATGACATATGGAATGTGTTTAAATACATGTGATGATATTGAACTTTTCAGTATTTTGAAATTTGACTATCATTATAGTCACCTGGCTCCAATGTTTTCAACTGTTTCATTCTTTTCATTTATATACTGTCTACATCGTTTGTAATGTTTGTATGATACTTTTGTGATGACTTACCGTATTTGTTCAAATACACGCCCCAGGGCATTTATGTTGAAAGGGTTTTTGAGATGACGTTTATTCGAGGCAGGCATTTATTCAAGGGAGGCATTTATTTTTTTTAATGTAAAATGGATATGTATATACTGCATTCAAATAAACGTCCCTTAATTTCACTGTAAATGTGGAACTACAACACTACTATTGCTTGATCTTGGAAGACTCTTTAGTTTGAGGACCCCTTAAAATATCTGCTCTCCATTTTAAAGTGGTGAGCTACACGGGTAATCCTCATTAAATAAAGTTAAAATGAATAAAAATAAACTTATTGATCTTAAACAGGTTAAAAAAATATAATTCTACTGGAGTAGAACATAATGGAATGTTTTGAGAATGATGTTGCATCCATTAGATTTGTTTAGTTATAGGGGAGCGTTTATTCGAAGAAAAAATAAAGCCTGAGGATGTTTATTCAAAGGGGAGATTTATTTAAAGCAGAATGGTTATTCAAATAAATAAGGTTTGTGTTTAAACCATGCATATTTAAAATCTCACATGCTGTTAGTTCAAATAAAATGTTCACAAAATAAACTAAAAAATTGCAGTTATACAGCACTTTTCAAGAATGTCTACATGCACACCCACCTCAAGGGTTCTGACGTAGCACAGTTTCTTGGGCAGTTTGGTCAGCTTTGGGTTACAAGTGACGTCCAACATACGTAGCAATTTCAGCTCACATATTGAATCTGGCAACTCTTGCAATAAATTACCTGTAAATCATTGAGATATTCAAATCAATGTATTTAAAATATTAAATAGGGAGACAACAAAAACAATAAGAAGCATGTTCTCATGATTGTGCAGACTGTTCGCGAAGTAAGTGAGCATTTCACAACAAAAACTTGTGAGCACTTAACAGCGGACATCAATCCACATAATGGAAATTGTAAATGCAAATAATTTCAATCAAACCTTTTATGTTGAATGTTTGAAGTGACTTGAGCTTTCCAAATTCCTTTGGAAGATGCTTTATTTTATTGTCTGCAACATTCAAAACTTGAAGACTTATCAGCTGAGTGATGTCATCAGGAAGATCTTTGATGTCATTACTATGTAAATCAAGAACCTAAAACACACAAATCTTATCAATTATTCATAAAGTTAATAAATATGTAAATCACATTCTGCAATATGTGTTGGATGTTTGGGTCATGGAAAAATGTTAATGGTTCGCATAATCTGATATGAAGAATATTTTATGAATGAAGTGGCATCTTTTAATTGGTTGACAAAAGAATCAAGTTGGCATGGTTAGTCTGATCTCCACTTTCCTTCATTTCATTCATTTTACCATGAAATTCACGAGATAAACTTGGCCTTTGGATCCAATGGGTTGCATCTGAGAGCTTGACATTTAATTTCGGTTGTGGGCTAAAGTGGTTGCAGAACGGGGATGCAAATGACACACATGTAACACTAGCTGGTGCCCAGGATGAAAATGAATTGACATGCATGCAATATACATGTTCTCTCTACTGAGCGATTCATTAAGATGATATGTCATTGCTAAATATTCAATTCAAATTCAATTCAATTCAAATTTATTTCGGGTTAAAATTACAATCAAAATTACAATAAAAAAGACAATAAAAACAGAAACAACGAGTGCTGCCAACCCAGGATTCCCAAAAGTACACAAAAGTACATAAGTATAATTTATGAATTAATCATAGGATTAATTTAATATGTAAATTATGTATTAACCAACATATCTTCATAAAATTAATGAAAAAATCTCAATAAGGAACAAGTTAACATGTCCTTGATCTGATCCTGAATTTGTCTACCTTCCTCTGAATTAGCATAGCCCTGTCAAATTGATGAGGAAATTTAGTTGACCCCTTTTGTAATTCTACCTACCCTTAAGCTGATGAGGTCCTTCATCAGTCCCCCTTCCTTCAATGAAATCAAATTGTTGTTATTCAATAGCAGCCCCTGCAATTCAAAAACACAATAAAAATGATGGATCATGAATATTTGATGTCGTAATATATTATGTTAATGAAATCTCGTTGAGTATTGATTATACCTGTATATAATAGTAAATACAGAATCTTTTTAAATTGTCAGTCATATTTTTATTATTGAGATAGAGATAGTACATATAACAATTTAATTTACCCAAACTTCTTCTATCAATTGGTTTTTATTTCTAATTGATCATCATATCTTTCCATCCTGTACGATAGGATAACTGTAGGCCAACTGGTATGATCAATTGTCAACTTTTATTGTTTATTATAAATTATTTTTGGATTATTATTGTTATTATTTCACTTATTGGAACAGTTTATTTCTTATTAGGATATTTCATTATTCAATCATAATGCATGTAGTAAGATACCTATAAAACACAAAGTTACCAATAATGCTTTAAAAATGCTATTCTCAAATATAGTAGAACATTTTGGGCTTTACCTTGGGGAAATAATACTGATCCTGTATTTTTGTGTGATTTTGCATTGGCAACTTAATTTATTTTTGTGTGAGCCAAAAATACATTAACAACATCATAATACTATACTTCAATTAATATTCTGTGACATGTTTACATCATTTGCATACTCACTTCTTTCCTCAAAACCTTGCATATTGAGAACACACCTGAGGGCACCTGAATGAATAATGAAAATGTAATTATTTGGTTTAGTGTTAAATGTGCTTAGTACTGTATACAAATCCCTGATCTTAGATTCCATATATGCATGAATCAGGATTTTCATTTTTTGCGACTGAATATATTAATAAAATTAAAAATAAATTATGATTATTATTACATTATTGTACAGTTCACCTTGGTCATTTCAAACCCTACTAATTCCAAGAAACCTGAAATTGGAGGCCACCCACCAACAATCTGTATTCTTTCAACACACAGCTTACCCCTAAATAGGGATCAAGCCTGAGAACACCATCCTTTTTTAGGTGCCAAATGTTGTCTCGAAATGAAAGATGCAATGTATTTAACCATTCTATAGCAGTATCAGACTTACTGTCCATGTAGGAAAAGATGGTTGTCTGGAGAACTACAAGAAAAACAAACTAAGGAACTAAATATTAATTAATAGAAAATTATTAAGAAGTTCTGACTTTCCTACCTCAGTTATCTCACACTCTGAGAGGTCAAATGTTGGCTCAGGAGATTCTCGTGCCTGTAAAATCAAAACAAGTAATATATTAAACTGAAATTATTAAATATTTACTTTTAAGCAACACTGTAGCCCATAGTATATCTGGAGGATGTTCAAATTGATGGGACAGAAGAACTATACACACATTTTAAAAAAAGACACAAAACACTCTCTCTTCCTTGATATGTCTACAATAGATTTTTTAAAGTGAAACTAGAGATCAATTGGCATATCACATTGCAAAAAGAGTGCAATTATATTCAAAATAAACTTATATGAGATAAATCAGTTTATACTTTAAGTTTCTGTTTTTGTTTATAAGTTTCACTTTTTAAATTTGTTACCAACACCAAGTGCTATACTACTAGGCTTATGGTTTCAAAAGATGTCTAATTTGCAGTATCTTAATAATGAGTTTGATCAGTATGCAATACTGTAGCATGTTCTTACCAAGTACATTTTATGCTCCATCTTCTTCTTGCCTGCTTGGCTTTGTTTTTTCCTTAAGAGTGGCATACTGTAATGTAACATTTTTAGGATGTTAAAATCCCAATATCAATCAAATAATATTATATGTATTATTTCATACAGATATTAAAGGCTATATAAAAAGAAAATTTTACAGTAGGTGACCAGACAGTACAAGGATCGGGCTTTGCCTTCAAGGTTTTATTCAATACTTCAATGTCATGGCTGAAAAAAGTGCATGACCGCGCGACAGGCGGTCGGAGGCATTTTGTGGAAAATAAATTGAAAAAAATACGGTGCTGGACTATATAGTGTACAGATAACATTTGATGCTTGAGGCATTTTATTAAGACAACTTTCATGGTCGGAGACACAAACATTTTTTTTCCTGGCCTGGTGATGGTTACTGGGTGATGGTCACAGGAAAGATCTAGGCCAGATGCCACAACCCAGCTTTGCCGAAACACAGTTTGCCAACTCAAAACCATGAAACCGAGTTTGCCGAAAGTCAGTAAAAAGCAGTGAAACATTAACAAAAGCTGTAAGATTCATGATGCGCCAGCGGAAGCAGTGGCGGCTCTAGGATATAATTT